GCTACACTGACCAGCAAATCAAGCAGTTGTTCCCTATTTCATAGCAGCTGTTTTCCATGGTGATCTATGCCCCAGCCCAAACCCACCTCAGCAGCACCCCTTTTCTAAGCTCATTTAGGGAACACAACTCTCAAAGAGTGATTGGAGCCATGGGTTGGTGTGTCTCATCCACGATTTGAGGCGGGGGAGATGAGAACCAGAATGTACCTGGGATCGCTGAATGCTGGATACTAGTTTGGAAACAGGAAGGAGAGCTGGAGAGGGAAAGCACAAAGGAGTTATACCAATCTGTGGCCCAGGAAGTGAACCCAACAGTAGGGGCAATCAAGATCCTACCTCTGCCCCTAGCAGCCGTGCTCTAGATGAATGTCTTCTAGAAACTGGACTCTCCAGCTGGGGCTGAAAAGAGGACAATTATCCCAGGGCTGGGATAAAGTGAAGATAGAACAAAGAAGGCTAAAGACTCTCTATAAACCTTGTTTGCTGACAAATATGGGGCCTACAAAGAACTTTAATTGTTGAATCACAAAGCAGAACAGAAAAAAGCAAAAAGGATCATATAAAAACATCTTCTAATGCAAAATAAAGGTAGCATCAGCTGGAAGACTTGGAGAAAAAGGCTTTTATATTTATAATTATATATAAATATCATTGTTATATAAAATATATATATTATATATATAATTTATGACAGGAAACAGAAGGGATTTTCATAAACAATACAAGTTGTTCTCAATAAGACAAAGAGTTGGAAGAGAATAAAAAAATATGGCCCCAGTAAAACAGCAAGAGAGAGCCACGAGGAGAGTGCATCCTAAGACCACAGCAGCAAAAGGAGGATGGTTAGATTATGTCCTAACAGCTGCAAAATGGAAACAACTCGAACACCCATCCAGAATAACAGATAAATAAATTGAGGCTTATTTATATAAAATGGAACACACATATTAATGAAAATGAATGAACTTCAGCTAGTCTCAAAAACATGGTTGAGTCTCACAAATATAATATTCAGGACAAGAGGCTGGATGCAAAAGAAGAGATGGCCTGACCCCTCTGAGATGAAGGGAAAACACAACACAACCCAACGATGACAGTAAGCAGGGCAGTGGTTGTCTCTGAGGAAGAGATATGGGGAAGCCCCTCGGGGGACCTCAGGGTGCTGGAAACACCTTATTCCTTGACCCAGGTGGTTGCATGTTTCACGTTCCATAAGAATTGAACTGTACATTAGCACTTTTCTGCATTATCCTGTATTTTATTATACTGTATTATATTCTATATTCTGTATTATACTTTGACCAAAAAGTTAAAAAAAAAAAGGGAAGGAGAGCTACTGAAATAAAATCAGGCTACAAATAAACTGAAACTTTCATCCATAATGAAAATAGGCTCTCAAGGCAATAACAAAAAAGTTTTTTAAATGACTGCAGACAATTGAATCAGTGATGTGGAATACAAACTCAAGAATGAGTGCAGCAACGCAAAAAGAGAAAAATGATATGAGAAGAGACGTGTAATGTGAGAAACAAAGAATGAAGATCTAGCATTAGATGGAAGGTGTTCCTGAAGAAAAAAACAGAAATAACAGCCATCGAAGATGTGACAACAAATTAACCTAAGCTAAAAGGAAGACCCAAGACAGCAATCTGAGGAGCTGACACTGTTACTGGCAAAAATAATGTGAAATACTCACACTTAGACATTTCACAACGGCCCAAGGGAGCCGTGAGGAGAGCATGCCCTAACCTCACAGCCGCACCAGAAGGGGGATGGTGGCATTAGATCCGAATAGCCCCAAACTGGAAACAACCCAAATATCCACCTGAATAGAATGGGTATAGAAACTGAGGTATATTTATATACAATGGAACACCATATATCAATGAAAATGAATGAACATCAGATAGAGGCAAATTTAATCTGAGATTAGGACAGCATAACAAGATTATTCAATAAATAGCACTGAGAAAATTGTTTTTAAAAAATTATAATTCATATGTGTAATAAAATTCCACATGACACGCTCTAAAAGTGCAAGGGACTGCTAATAAATTTTGTATATAAACTCCCTGGGTAGATTGCAGAGTCCTCGGGGACAGGCAGTAAATATTATACTTATTTGATTTCCTCCTCCACCCAGAAAGCATTTGGGCAAACAGTCCTGTAATGAATAAATGAATGGATATGAATGAATGAATGAATGTCTCAACCAATTCCTTGTTGCTGAGTTTGTTGGGTGATTTCCAACTCCAGTCTGGCCAAATTGATGCAGCTTTGTGTTATTTCCTCCTGAGCTTTGTTTAAAGAGAAGAAATAGAAACTTCCCAGAGTGAATGGCAGCTGGAGATGGTCTGCATGGCGAGTGGCTCTTTTCATGCCTGGTCTCAGAGGGTAACCACTCAGGGATTGGGCGCCTTTGACCCTTACACTGAAGGAAAGAGGCATTCGTCCCTCTAAATACTAACCAGGTGGGGGATCCTGTCCCCGACGATGCATAAACAGGAGGCTGCAGCCGCTGCAGGGTGGGGAGCAGGGAGGGAGGACAGTACTAACATCTGTGCCTGAGGTAGCTGGACCACAAAGGATCCTTCAACGTCCATCAGTGTCCACTATGTCAACTCCCTATGCAACACCACGTGTCCTCTGAGGATAAATGAGTGGCCCCGAGCAGCAGGACTTTAGGGCTCGGCTTGACATGAGGCAGGCCCAAGAGAACAGCAAATAGGCAAAGGCTTAGCAAGTTCAGCTTCCCCAAGAACCAACCTGCAAGTCATCTGAACTGATTCACGCCAGTTGGTTTTCAGACCCTGCCGCCTGCTCTAAACTCAGCACACATCTGCACAGCCCTGCCCAGAGCCCCGGGATGCTCGTAATAAAGCATGAGCAGTCATAACTCAGGGTTCACCTTGGCAAAAGATAGATAAATAAGTAGAAGAAATCTTCTGTCAGAAAATAAATGGCCCTTCTCCAGGCTGAGAGCCTGGATGACCCTCCTGAAGGACAAACACTGCATCTTCACCAGCCGGCCTCAGGCCATAAAGTCTGGCTTCACTCAATCAGGGACCCCCACCAGGGCTTCCACTGCTAAGTCTGCCCACCTGGGCTGGAGGACTGTTAGCATCACTCCCTGCTCATCTCACCTGCCGAGAAGGTGTGGTTCAGCCCTGCTCAGCTGCCTGGGCCTGGGTGAAGCAAGCTCCTGAGCTCTGCTGCTTGCCCAGGAGCACAGAGGGCCTTTCCGCCAGGCACCCCAGGGGAGGCGAGGGGCCAAAATCCAGCCAGCGGTCCTCCTGAAAAGCTGTGCGCCGCAGAGGTGGCCCAGATTTCACAGAGAAAAAAGCCTTCGAGAAATCATCTCTTGATTATTCATGGCAAAGCGGGGAGGGAGGAGGAAGGGAGATGGAAAGCCAGGATGTGTGAAAGCCACAGATGATTTTCCAACTTCATTTGGTTAGTAATCTCAGCCTCTTTAAGAGTTGCCAGTTCTCAGGGCCTCTGCTCAGCAGAGCCCCATGCATGAGGCTCCCCGTCCCTCCTGCTAACTGATGACTTGATGACTAAACCCAGGGGACCCACTCAAACACAGCGAAAGCCCACCCAAATCAGGGCATCACCTGCCCTAATCCCCACTCCTGGGGGTGCAGGAAAGCTGGGGCCTCGCCTTCCCTGCCAAACGCAGCCAGTCCAGCCTCGCTCAGCCTTCTTTATGGTCACCAGGACGGACTCACTTCAGAGGTGGTCAGGGCTCTATTGCCTGCCTCTATTGCCCTGCATCCAGATGTCCGTTGGCCAACTGAAGGCCAGGAGATCCGAGGGTCCCGCTCTCCTCTTTGGCCACCAGTCTCTGTCCAGACGGCAGTGAGCAGCTGCTGGTCCTCAGGAGCCAGCTCCTCCCGCATCACTCCCACCTCCTCTAACATCCCAGCCTCTCCTCAGACGCAGCCCTCCAGCGTTCACGTAAATAAGCGTGGGTCTAGAGAAGCAAGCAAACCAAATAGACAAAGGCAGGAAAAACCATCCCACGACCCTGACCTTCGCTTCCCTCATCTCCTGCCAATGGTGAAGCGATTCTGGCCTCTCTGGCCCAGAGCTGAATCTCCCACCATCCCCTTGTGAGAAATGTGCATGGAGAAAGCACACTGGTTTGGACCATTACACATACAGAGCAAAGATGTGGGCCATCTGGGGTAATTTTGACTTCTCTGTTTTAGAAAGTAAATTTAAACTTCATGTTTTAAAATGGTGTTACACGGGAACACAGCATTCCAAAACACTAGGGAAAACCGATTCTGGTTTGGCCTCCGCAGATGTAGCACCTAGATGCAGCATCTGGCTGAGTCAACCTAATTCTCTATTCTAGAAAAAAATTCCTCTCCCTCTTTTTAATTTCTTCTAATCAGGGGGTTAGTTTACCCATGGGGATACAGTGGGGCCCTGTCCCAGGATGAATGTCGTCATCGTGTTCCCAGGCTTGTTCTCATCCCTAACCCTGCCTTGAGTACCCAGAGCTGTACTGTGTTGCAAAGGAACAGCAGCAATTAAAATAATTGCTGTCCATTCCCACCTCAACACCGCTTCCCGATGATTCTAATCTGGGCAGGGTTCAAGCACCATGGCCACAAGTCAAGAGACAGCCGTTAGCAGGGCTTAAACCTCCCCTGCACCTGGGCCCCATCATAAATGACAATATGAAAACACGACAACACCACTGGTGACAAAGATTCCATAACCTGGAAAACACACTTCGGGAGTTGAAGGCTATCTCCTCAGTCAGTATCCAAGAAATCAAAACATTCACCATAGATTTTTCAGGCTATAAGGTCTGTCCCACACAAAGAAGTCACTTAGGCAGAATTTATCTCTAACTCTTTGCCGTTGTACCCGAGTTAGACTTGGCCACAACTGGTGGCCAGAGCCTGGTGCTTTCACCTTAGATGCACAATAACCACAAATGCCTCCCTTGGGTGGTAACCTCCCAAACAGGGTGGGCTCCTTACCATCTAGCTCCTCCACGGAGATGTTAGCAAGCTGCTCGCTGTCGCTGCCAGCAGAGAGAGAGCGGTTGAGGTAATTCCCCTTGTACAACAGGCCAGCGGTCACATGGTGGAAAGGCATCTTCTCCCTGTTCACAGGAGAAGGGGGGGCGGGGAGAGAGAGACATCATCATTCATTCCTCCTTTCCTTCCTTAAAGGACCACCCCAGTTTTCAGATGGCCAGTGTTACTTTTAAAATAACATTTCTAGAGGGAAAGTCGGAACATTCCAGGGTCCCCGGGGCCTGTACAATCCCAAATGATCTCAAGTTCTATCCCTTCCTTCATGCTACGTCTTACTTCATTTTCCCCGTTTAATTACGAATTGGAACCATGTTGTCCTTGCAGACTGTGGGACACCATGGCATCATAAAACCGTCTCTCCATGCAAACAAGAGTACTCCCTGCTCCTTCTCTTGGCCTGATAAACTCTTTCTCGATCCTCATAAGAAAGGACCCTGCATCCCAGAAACACTGGGCTGCCCAGGGACGGGACATCTTGGCTGTGGCCATGGGGAGATCCAAGCACTTCACTGTTCCCAGGTAAGCACGTGTTCCCCTAACACAGCACTCACAGAGGGAGCAGATGCCCAGGCTCGAAGTGAACACGTACAGCAGTCTGCACCTCTGAGAAGCAGCCCCCACACCGGCCTGCTTGCGTGAGTGGCTTGTGAGCACACCCCTCTGAGACACCACTCACGCCTGCCCTGCGGTAAAGGTGAGTGACGCCTCAGGGTGCCCCAGAACAAAGCAGCTTCTAGCACCCTCACAGGAAACTAAAGCCTCCCCTTAGACCAGACTAACAAACCCTCCAGTCAAAGCTCCTCTGCCTAGGCGGTCACCACAGGGGCTTAGAAGTTCCCACTGGCGCAAGGCAGGCCAGAGGCTCCAGGCTAAAGGGGAGGGAAGAGAGGTGTAAGGAGAATGAAAGAGCAGGCCCAGAAGAGAAGGAGGAAGGGCAGTTACAAAGGCGGGCACGGCTGTTACAGTGAGTGAGCCACCGAGCGCATCAGGTTCTGCTTCCCCATCTGGAAAGGGGGGCTCGGAGGACTGATAAGCCTCTGAGCAGAATTAGGGAATAGGTAAGAAGTATGGGGAGTCAATTATAGGGCGAGGGTTAAAACACTTTCTTAACAGAGCTCCAGGAAGGTGACCTGGGCAGCACTGGAAGGAGTAATCTTCCCGCCACTGGGGGCATTCAAGTAGAGGCTGAGCGCCTCCGTGCCAGGAGTTCTGTGGGAGAGAAATGACCTCTGAGCTTTCTCCCCACACACCTATCACTCTCATGTAAGTCATTTCAGAGTCTCCTCAGCACTAAAGTTTTCATCAGTGGCCAGAGTGGCCCCTCTGGGCACTGCTGAGTAACAAAGTGTAAATTACAGGAAAAGACAGCCAACAGAAGGCTAGTCTCTGAGGATGACTGTTCAGGGCACCCAAAGCTCGCCATCCCTCCAACCACACTCATGACAGCAACCGTCGCTGATCGCGGGATGCGGGAGCTGGCAGGCGCTAGGGAGCAAGGACTCCTGTCTTCTCTTCCCTGAGACGGCCTTGAGTGACAGGCCAGGTGGGACGCCCCCTCCTCTCTCTCCTTCCAGTCTGGAGCACACACCAGCATGGTTTGGGCTGTGAGCAGCTGACTTAGAGATCAACCAACGAGACTCCTCAAAGTTACAGAGCTTGACCAAGAGCACAAAGCAGGTTAGAGCAAGAATCAATTCTAGAACACAAGCTTCCTTAGTCCTCTTTCGACTAAGCAGCCTCAGCTGAGCACCAGACATTTCTACCCGGATGTCCAACTCTCATTTCAAACTCAAGATGTCTAAAAATGAATTAATTTTCTTCCTAAAAAAAAATAGGCCACACTTCCTGATTCCTCTGTTTCTATCAAAGGTACTTTTCACTCATCATAACAACTGGGACGACTCTCACAAATGTTCTGGGCCCCGACAAGTAAAACAGACACATGGCTGAGCCAAGAGCCAGCCGTCAGCCTCCCAGCCACCCTTAACTCTTTCCACTACTAACAAAATGTGCCTCGCCAGGCTGATCACAAACAGCAGGATGCTAGGTACAAAGTGCACACGCATTTGCCAGTTATAATGGGTACATCTTTAGCTAATTATAAGTCAGACCTCCCCCCCGGCCAAACCTATCCTTACACATAAAGAGAATTCAAGAATCTTTCTCTGGAAGAACGCTTCAATTAACATCTCCTCTTGTCTCTAAGTTAAATTTCAGACCAAACAGGTTTAAAAGTGAGAATCAGCCATATGAGTTAGGCCAATCCTGATTTGGGGGGCTATGTGCTGTAGTCTTTTCAGTGTGGACAGGCTCCCACGGTCTGGAGATGAGAAGTAACATTGGTTAATGCTACCCGTGTGGTTTCAGCTTCCCTCTCAGCCCTGGCCCCACGACCCAGCAGCCTCACCAGCTGTTATTTCAACCATCTTTTAAGTCCTCTGTAAACACGGGAAGACACTCACACTGATCTTATCTAATTTTGCTACCTGGAGAGAGCCCCACTCAGGTCCGTATAGGCGCTGACAGCTTTCCTTCCGGTTTCACCACTCATCACTCTAGTTCCCCAGCACTTTGTAAATATCTTTCCATTATCGGCTTTATCTGGCTGTTGGAAGCTTTGGATCCACCACACACATTTTTACAGCTTCAATTACAAAGTTATACCGAAACGAACATATCCAAGCCACTCCCCAGTTCAGCCACGGAATAAATGTTGAGTACTTTGCAGAGAAAACTGGTCACAACTGAATCCCACTTGGTATATCAACATAACTTGCTTCTGGAAAAAGCAGCTTACAAAATTAGGTACGGATTCAGTTCATTCAGTCCCTGCAGCCAAAACACTCAAAGTCTAGTGGGAAGGGAAACGTGCAATTGAACTATCCATGTAGATAAATAAAGTCATGTTCAGGAAAGGGAAGAACATTATCCCAAGTAAGCTAAAAACAGCTGCTGCAATTAAGCACTAAATTTCACTCCAAGCCGCCTGGGGAAACCCAAGCTTTAAGATCCTCTCTTTGGCTAAGGGAGGGAAACATACAAGTTCATGGGCAAAGATCAACGTGGTCCTGAACTAAAACTTAAAGATGGATCCTTACATGGAGGTCAATGAACAAAAATATTTTCAATAGCAGTTTTACTCATTGAGAAATATTAAAGTGACTGGTTATCATGTGAATAATTTCTCTGTATTTTTGGTAGGGCAGTATGGTTTCATGGTTAAGAATCAGAACTTTCTGGTCAAAAACAGTGTTAGATTTAAATCCTAGCTCTGCCCTTACTAGCCATGTAGGTAAGTTATTTACCCTCTGTAAGCCTCAGTCTCCTTCTTTGTAAAACTGGGGTTCTGATACATACTGAACAGTATTTTTGTAACTATGAAATAAGGTATGGAAAGCACTGGACTTAGCCCCAGGCACATCTCAGTAAATATCATCAGTAATTATTTGCTAAGGATTCTATGCAGCAGGATGCAGGGCAAAAGGAGGTCATGGATGTATTGGGTTGAAGCTAAAAATGCTGGGTTATGAGGGAGGGTTATAAGGACCCAGCAGAGGGTGAGCTTCAGAGAGAAGCTGGCTGGCATTGGGCACCACGGTGCTGAGGGAACTGGTGTGTGAGCAGCGGAGCACCGGGGGGCCCGGGGCTGAGTGGTGTCGGCAAGCAGTGGCTGTATCAGGAGGAAGAGGCTATTTGAAAGGAAAGCACCAAAGCTGAAGAAGAGTCTATTTCCTGGGCCCCAGGGAGGCTGACTCTCGTGGTCACATAATGGACAAGGTATCAGGAGGTTAAAAACAAAAGGGGGTAGTTCCTGTTTCTAGGGTCGAGGAACTGGTACATTTGTTGGCAGAATAATAAACCGAAGAGCCCCATTCACATTGACTTGAGATGATGCCCTTCAGTGATGGTTAATTTTATGTGTCAACTTGACTGGGCCATGGGGTGCCCAGATATTTGGTTAAACATTATTGTAGGTGTGTCTGTGAGGATGTTTCTGAAGGGCATCAATATTTGAATCGGTAGACTGAGTAAAGCAGGTTGTCCTCCCTAATATGGGTGGGCCTCATCCAGTCTGTTGGAGGCCTGAATGGAATAAAAAGGCAGAGTAAGGGAGAATTCATTCTCTCTGCCTGACTGTCAAGCGGGAACATGGGTCTTCTCCTGCCCTTGGACTCAGACTCAGACTCAGAATAGAGCTTATACCATCAGCTCCCCTCGGTCTCCAGCTCACCAACTGCAGATTATGGGACTTCTCAGCCTCCATAACCATGTGAGCCAATTCCTTATACTAAATTTCTTTCTCTCTATATATATCCTATTGGTTATGTTTCTCTGGAGAACCCAGACTCATACACCGTCTGTTTTTTTCACTACGGTACTTAAGATCCAGGCACACTGCTGTAGGCTGATATTATTATTCTGGACAAAGAGTGTACCAAACATAATTCTGCAGGGCCTCTGAAGCAGTGAGACTCAAAGTGTGGTCTGTGGACCACTGCCAGTCAAACAGTTTGTTGCTGGTCTGAACGAGATAAGGACAGGAATTGAGAGAATGCAGTGAAATTTTTATAGCAATTTATAGCATTGTTCCAACTTGTAAGCATGTGACCAATTGACTTGATTTTTGTATATCGTTGCTTTTTTATTTTAGTTTTCCAGTAATTCATTCTTACTGTATTTTATAAAAGTATCAGTCTGCCAAGGACTGGAACTTTAAAAAAAACAAACTGGTCCTTCCCCACTAATAGTTTGAGACGCACTGCTCTAACGTATTTGAGTTGCATCGCTTTCCGGTAATGGACCACAGAGAGAAAAAAGATATCTAGAGAAACGCATTTTAACTTGTCTCTGAAACTTTTTCAAAGAACTTAAGAATTTTTTGAAGTCTTGGATGGACTTTGGAAAGGAGGTGCAAGACCTCAGCTGAAGTTTGGGCTCTCTGGAGAGTGTCTGCAGTGTGCGTGGAATCTACTGCACTCTTGACAGCAGTTCCTGTCCTTTAATTACCAGACATACAAGTGGCAATATTGACCTTGCATTCTAAAGTTAAAGAGCCTAGCCAACC